GATCATTTCGTACTTCAAGGGAGATTGGGAGACCTACCGAACTTGCAAAAAATCAGGATTTTTTACTTTTTTTTCTTTTCTCGAATTTTTTTTTTGCAAAGCTCAAACTTTTCTACTTTGATTAGTGGCTCCTTATCTAAGTGTGAGTTTGGCGATTATCCCACCCTCCCCTTCCCACCTATGTTGTTGCCATCTCTCGCCTTTCCGTTTTTGTTGGTATCCGGGTACCCCCTGCGGCGGCATTGGTGAGTTGCCATGTCAGCAGGCCACGTCAGCAGGACACGTCAGCTGTGCCACGTCAGCAGCAAGGGATACCACATCAACAGGCCCCCGCTTCGGTCTATGCTGTTGCGATCTCAAACAGCAGTCCCAGAGGCCCGGGGAAGTAGACGAGGCCTATCAGGCCCGCATGCTTGCCTGGAGTACCGAGACTAAGAAATGGGCAGATGACGCTGCAGCAGCAGCGAAGAAGAAGGCAGAAGATGCCGACCAGGCACGTCTGCTGGCACTTGAACAATAGCGCCAGCATGACGAGGCAGCAGCAGGGCCTGCTGATGAAGAAAGAACATAGTGTCGTGAGAAGATATTTACTGGAGAGCGGGCATTACTTACCATGGCAACAAAATGGCGAACCGAGGCCGAGAATAACCAGTTGGAGGATAACGCAAACAAGATAGCGCTCCTCTCGCATCTCACGGATCTCCTGGCAACCTGCATTACACAGCAGGCAAAGATCCTTGGTCTCGACAGATCGCTAGCTCACCTCCAAGACCGTTTTCAGCGGTTGGAGCAGCGACCAGTCGCCGCCGCCGACGCAGGCTCTTCCAATACTGCCGGCCGCCTCAACGCATTGGAGATGCACGTCGGCTCACTCCAGGATGGCGCACAGTTACAGCTCACCGCGGCGCAACAGTTGCAGCAGCGGGTATGTACCACCGCCACTACCTCGAGTACGGAGCCGCGGGAGTCAACTCCAAAGTTTGACGGGCAGGAGATCTTCTGCGACTCCATGAAGACAAATCCGATTCCATGATTCCGCAAGTTCGAGCTCACGCTGCAGCTGTCCAACGTCAAGGAACTCAAGCATCACGCCTACTTGTACTCTCGCTCAGGAGGCGCGTGCCAGGCTTGGTTGGACAACCTCCTGTCCAAGTACGGAGTAGTAGCGGCCGACTTGCACACCAAGATCAGTTGGGATGATCTGAAGGCGGCGGGGCACAAGCGGTTCCAGGTGGAGCCGCCAGAGATCAAAGCCATGAACAAACTCATGGTCTTCGAGCAAGGCACGCTGCCGAGTACGGACTGGATCGCCGAGTACCAACGCTTGACGTCAGTCCCAGACATCCAGATGGGCTTCAAGGCCATCCGCCATTATTTCATCTCAAGGTCATGTCGGGCATTAAGCAATGCCCTGACTCATGTCGAGGACACCTTGACGACGACGGCGAAGTTGTTCGACAAGGCTGTGCAGATCATTATCACAAACAAGGAGGCCAAGAACCTTCGTTCATCTGCGTCAGGCCCGAGCAGGGCCCAGCATCGGCCAAGAGTGGCCGTGGTTGCAGCGGCTGCGCCGTTAGACCAAACCAGCAAGGCTGTGTCTGCCAGTGAAGGGAACAGATTCGCAGCCGCCCGGGAAGGTGGCCGCCCCGGCAGAGGCCGAGGACGCGGCAAGACGAAGACACACACCGTTTTTAGCACCGGGCCCGGTGCAGCAGCTCAGACAGGCCCATGGACCCCGTATGGCATCTCCGAGCCCGCATACAAGGCGCGCGAGAGATTCCACTATTGCCTTTGGTGCAACAACGATCTTCATCAGACGCAGGTTTGCCCATTGAAAGGCAAGGGCAGATAGGGAAACTGAGCACCGCCGAGAGTGATGCGACGACACTCTCGACGCCTTCGAAACTGGTTTCTTCGCGAGTAACCAGCCTTCATTCTGAGGCGCACGCGGAAGTCGACAGTCCTCCGCTTCTACTTTCTTTTGAGGACTATGCTGCCCGGCTCGTTCCAACGCTGGGTACTCAAGCTCAAGGACAAGGAGTGTGTGCGGTTTCTTCTCCGTCCGGCAACAGCGACGGATCGTCTTCAAGTGGTTCGTCACGGGATTCGGCGCGCGAGTTCGATGTAGAGGCATTGGACCCGCTCACGTCTGAGGACTTTGCATGGCTTCCTCTCCCGATATATATATATATATATATATATATATATATATATATCGTCACAAATAGAACTGCCCGGTAAACCGTAGGCAGAGAGAGAGAAGAGGACAACAAACGAGGGGCTGTATATATATATATATATATATGACGATATATATATATATATAGAGTATTTATGAAATCTCATCTATCAAATAATAAATTCAATACAACATTAAGATATATTCATTT